TAATGCTCTTACGTATATTTGATCCCCTTTTATTAAATTTTTTTTCAATCCAACTAGTGGATCTATTTGTAAATTGGATAGGCTTATCTAAAAGTAATCTTTCACATTACAAAAATTTGGAAATTTCTACAAATCGTATTGACTCAATTGTATGAGATTTTTCCGTAAGGTTACATGTTAATTTGTAATTTTTTAAAATTAAACACAAAAAAGGGTACAGTTGAAAGATCAGCAATTTTTTTTTGGATTTATTTTATACTATTTCTAAAACATGTTTGAAATAAATAATACTTGTGGAAAAAATTTTGTGTAATGAACGCCTTGAAGAGACATTCACTGACATGTACTACTACTACTACTCTATTAAAGAGAGTGGCACTACAGTATGATTTTTCTCAAGTTTTTAGATGCAACTATATTTTAAATAATTAATATGGAATAAAAAAAAGTGTCTGGGCGTGACATTAAAGATGTAATTAGCGTAGGCAGTAGGAAGTTGTTTTTAAAGTAATCGGAAGATTCGATAAAAGCGCGCAGACTTGTACTGGCGAGCCTATATATTGCTAATATTGTATTGTGCTCTAATATATTGTTAATAATCTTTAGTTTATCAAATATTAAAGTATTAATTGAAACCGTACTCAGTTAACGTAGGTATACTCATTTATACGATAATTGCACCATCTTTGTACACAATATTGTTTCATAGAAGGTATTTTTATACTCATAATTGTAGTGTATTCAATATAATTTTATAGAAGTATCACTTTATACTTGGGTACCCAAGCACCCACTATCCACTGGTTTTGGACCATTACAAAAATTGTAAGGAGTGGGTCTCAGTTTTTTGCATTTGTACTGTAATACCCTAAGTTAATTAATTTTTTGCCACAGTTAGAATTGACAATGCTAAAAAGCTCATTCTATTTCACCACTAGCTAACCATAGCTCTATGTTTAATATTTCGCAGAATGTACTTGAAATGTTTACTAATTTTCTTATATTATATTAAAATCACGAAGCACAATAAATGAAACAATTTAGAAATATATGCAGTTCAGCTCTCTATAATGTTACAAAAAAATTTTTAGTTTTCTTTAAAATCAATTCTTTAGGATCCTTATTTTCGGATAACGTAGGATCCAAACGGTTTTATAACATTACTTCACTCTTACAAGAGTTTGCATCACAATGTCTGTAATATCTCTTCACATTAATGTTTTTTTTTAACATTGTCAGATATCTTCAAGTCTCAATCAATAATGTTGCCATTTATTTGTAACCAGCTTACATCAATTGATTGAGATACACTAGGGAATCTTATTTGTAGCTTGAGATTCTTGTTATGATACGTATACTTGTTATGCAATGAACTTGTTAATTAACCATTAACGTATGAATGAAATTTGATCTGGAAGTACTAAAATATTTATGTGAAAATTTATTAGAACAAAAAAAAATCCTATTAGATTTCGGAGAAAATAGCCATAATTTCATGCACAAAAATTATTAGGCTAAAAGCTTAATAAGAATCCCTGTGTGCTCCTAAAAAAAATTTACACTTGATCTCTGTGAATGTTTTCTATACTTCATGCTCTCAGATAAGAGCTCCAAAAATAATTCTTTAATTTTCTCTCACCTTCTCTTACTATTCTACTTTTTTTCTAACATTTGCAAAAGAATCACAAAATATACATTTAAACCTATCAAAAATTACAGGTAAGATTTTAAGGTTGAAGAGTTGACATCACTTAAGAAAATACAGTGGAACAACTTGAGGGAAAAAGTTATCAAGCTTCAAACGTGTACTACATAGTATAACTAATAAGCTCGATTTCTTACAAAATTTTAGAATTTAAAGGTTACGTTAAAGGAATATAAGTTGACAGAGCGTACTTTAAAAAAAATTTGGTTCAAGAGCTTTTGTAAAAAGGCTATCATAATTGACAGTTTATGTAAATCAATAATTTTTAACCTTTTAAGTAAATGATAAATAAATAGGCTAGAGAAGTGCAGTTTACACTATTTTTGGCAATGAGATTGAGACTTAATTACAAAAGAAATAAGTCTGGCAGATAATAGATTTGAAAATTCAAGTACAGAGAGATATTCTATTCATGTACTGTAGTTACGTGGGCTTTAAGCTCAACAAAGTTACACGGTATGATTTAAAAGCTTTAAGGGGCCAGTTAAACAATGATTAAAGTAAATACTATTTTAGAAAAGGTATAAATTTAGAAAACAACGTGGAAAAATTTATTAATAATTTTTCAACTTAACATTTAACACTTTTCAAGTTTTCTCATCAAATAAGAGATTTACATCTTTTTGTTCAGTTTTCCCCAAACTTAAACCTTATTCTTTTTATTTAAGTAGCGAAGTTCAACACAAGTGATTTATACATTTTTTTTTGTTCTCTGTATATGAGGTTCTAATACTTAAAACCCAAGATCTCCTACAGTGTGATCAATTTTCATTTACATAAAGCTTTTTTTTAAGGACACAAAACTACAGCTTTTAAATTTTAGAAAAGTGGACAGTGGGTATTGGATACGCAAGTATGAAATTATACTTGTATAAAATTACATGGCAGACAATATAATTATAAGTATAAAATATCTTCTATGAAACAATAACGTGTACAAAGGTGGTGCAATTATCATAAGAATGGGTAAACCTACGTTAATTAAGTGTGGTTTCAGTTAATATTACAACATTTAAAAAGTTAACAACTATAAACCATTGTAATGTCGGTAGATTAAAATTACAAACAAATTCTTTTCCCCTGCATATTCCCTAGGAATGTTGTTTTGAAGGCACTAGTGCAAAGACCAATGTGCATCTGAAAAGAGGCGAATCACCTGCAAGTTACTGAGACCTGCAGTACAATGACGATTTATGTACATGTACGCTGGCCTATGCTGACCGGAAATGCAAAACAAAATATTTTTCTACAATCGTGGATACAAAAGTTTAACTGGGAACAGTTAAACTGAAATATTAAAAACAGATGTAATTTTGGATCAACATAAGGCTTAACATTAGGATAACTTAGAATTAATACCTAGAAATAAGCGAAAACATTATTAAAAATCAGAATCGTCACAAACAACCAGTACATACTACACCACTAGCAAACAACTACATTACATATTAACTATGAAAAACCTGCAGAAAAAAAACATGTTTACTAAAATTCTACCAAAGTTCCGTATTATTTTTGTAACAAAAAGTGTCTGGGCGTGACATTAAAGATGTAATTAGCGTAGGCAGTNAGCAGAAAAACATGTTGACTAAAATTTTACCAAAATTCCACATTATTTTTGCAACACTATAAATATTCAAAACTACTGTGAAACCTAATTATGTTAACTGGCGACAGGCAAAGCACTATTATTCTCATCATTATTTCAACATTTGCTATTCTTATTGTTATTGCTGCAATTAGTATTATTATTATTATTATAACTACCACCACTAATATTATAATTATAAGTTATTACGGCAGTAGCCACCGTTTTGGCGTTTAAGTAGTAGTATTAATTAATAAATCACCAATCGTTTGTTCACCCGAGCATCAATCGAATTGTTAAGCGATTTTCACAACTCTTTTTGCAACAAGTTTAGTTGAACAAACGGCCGGTGTTTAGCATTAGAAAATATTAATAATATTCTGTCATAATGTTAAGGTTAAATGATATTAAAATCCTGTAAAAGGAAAAGGAAGGGCATAAGCAAGTGAATCTCCTTCCCTTCTCTTAACGCAAAGAGGAGAGTGAACCGGATATGGGAAGTGCCAATTTCTGAGTGGCTAAACTAGAGCAGTTCTAGCCAATGGGATTTGCGGCTCTTGTCATTTTTGCAAGATTTTCCCCCGGCACGCTCTCACTGCGTTGTTATCGAACCAGCGCGTGACCGGGGTCCGCTACTCCTTATCAAAAGGCCGGGAGGCTCCGGAAAAGCCAGTTAATTTTTATTTTTCACCCTCGAACAGTCCACTGAATAGTTAGAGTCCCCCTCTACTATCACTCAGTCCTCCACGAGCGCGTAGCAAAAACCTCTTTACTTACCTCGGCTCGTACTGGTTCGCCGTGTACCCCAGTTATATTTGAATAAAAGTAGGGCCTCGGCTGGATGCAGGAAATGTTTTTTTTTTTTTTTTATTGGTTGTTTCACTCTCATGCATAACGCACCTATAGAAGTATAACTTCACAAAACGAAAAAAATAGACGTTTGCCGGCCTATAGCACTACACATACACTTGGATACATCAATTATCAAGTCATACCACCTATATACAATCATAAAGCCTCTGAAAGCAACATGGATGGTTTTCATGAAACGTGTAGCCACCGTATTTTTATTTCAAAAAACAATAAAAAAATTAGGAAGGCCGTATTTTTAAGGATAGCTTGACGTCAGTGTAAACTGGCTTTGTAAAATATTTAGTTAACTTTTATTAGTGTTACTTCAAAATAAATCATCTTATAAAAAAATTGAAGAAGATAATTCATCTCATTATATCATTTAAAACTAAAATATGATTCTATCAATTTAAAGTATAAATGTAAGAAATAATCATTTGAACACTGTTAGAAACTGATTCAACCTCAACTTTTCAGCTTTCGATAGCAGATGTAAGGCACTGCATCTATAGATTAATGTTAGTTCAGTGTTGTTATGTGGGTTACCTAAGCATGTAAAGTACTTGCATTGGAAAAATAATGAAGTCACTTAAAGCCATTGTCCAAGATAGTATAAATGTTAAGCTTCTAGTAAATTTGTTGAAATTTATGTCATAAAATGTGGGTATGAAATACAAAAAAATATTTAGTAATATTGTATGTATGTAAATACAATAGAAATCATTTACTGATAAATAAAGTATATTTGTTAAAGGAAGTCCACATTTTTTTCTGATAGAATCAGTGAATGATTCATTTTCAAATTTTATTTAAAATAAATTAAAACAAACAATTTAAAATCATGTAGAAGTAATAATTCTTTAATACTAGTAATTTTCTCTTCTTAGTCTTGAGCTCATTCATTACAACTAATATTTATTGTGATAAATAAACATTAGGAAATCTGTCATATAATAAGCACGTATATGTTTTTTTGGAATTTTCTTTCATCGCTGAGGGTACACCTGTACTTTTAGTGAAACATTCTGTGAATTTTAAGAATCTTTCCCAAGCGCTGCTTGACAGTTTTCATTCCTTTTTTGGGTCTTTGATCTGCAAATAAACAACAACAAAAATTTGTGAAGAACTTGTACATCAAACTTTACTTTTTTACCATTATAACATATTTTTCCACCCCATTTGTCTTACGCTTATCTCTCGAAACGTTACTACATAAACTACAATATATCTGATAATCCACAAGGTGGTCACTTTTTAAATGATGTATGTAACATACGTGGTTTAATTAAGTACTGCGATAAATTATTACAAGAACGTCGACAAAAGCTTGAGATAAAACATAAGTGTAACTTTACCTAAATAGAACACCAACATTGGAACACAGTCTCCTAGACTATTAAGTGAGCTCATTTTGAATATAAAACATTTGATAAAGAAATGCTTTGTTAGGGCGTGTTTGGATGAATAATAAATTTACAACTATTTACTTCTATTAATTAGAAATTTCTACAATCAGGTTTTGATATAATAAATTATTGTGTTTATAAAAACATACTTGCTTCTTTCATTTAAAAGTAATTTGCTTGATCAGAATAATATAGATATATACTTATATTTAAAATAGAGCTCCGATAGCTTAGCGGTTAGTACACTAGCCTCCTAGCAGAAAATACTCGAGGGATCGTGGGTTCGAGTCCGGTCAAAAATTTTTGAGATATTTTTCTCGGGCTTTTTCGATGGTACTCAGGATACTGAAACACCACTTATCCAGTTTTTAAAACTAATAGTCGATTTTTTGATGATGTCTGAACCTCCAGGGGCTTCCTTTTCGAAGGAAAGCCAAAATCTGGCCAGCTCACCGGATAAAGTCTCTGTTGGTTATAAAAATGTCGGTACAGCGAGTTAGATGGTTTATTAGGAAAGATCATTTGAGATAATCGCTGCGACCCGTTAATAGTATACAATAGGAATGATGAAAAAGTCATCTTAGGGAAACCTTGCAAGGGGCAACAGAGACTGTCAGCTCAAATGACAAGGTTAGAACGTGCGGCAACGAGTCTCAATAGAAAAACTTCCACTGTGCATGATATGATAGGCATGGTACCAGTGAGGTGACAGGTGAAGGTTGCAGCAGTACACCTTTACACTGATTTGATGAGAAGGTAGCCTTCGTGAGGAAGCCAGTAGGCTGTCATGGTAAACTGAAAAAAAACTGTACAACGTTTATTTGTTTCTACTTAAATCTTTTTAAAATGTGCAATGATAGGTTATTTTTAGGGTACTAATCTCTTCAGAACTACATGATTCTTTTTTTGGTATATTTAATTCTTTGTCTCTGCATTTTTTACATTGTCTTTTCAGCTAAGACAGTCTAAATTTACTGAGAAATCAAACTTTGTCGTTCCACAAAAAAAGCGATGCGATAATAAATATTAAAAATTTACACAGCTCTCTGACACTTGTAATAATGATTCGTTGAAGTTCCACTTCTCAAGGTTTTACTAGAACCATTGAGCCTCCTTAATCCCTTAAAATTTTATTTACAAAAAAGAAATCTTAAAAATTTTTCGCAAGCTTTTAAAATTTATACTTAAAAATTCTCAGAGATTGAAAATTTGTGATTTTGATGACTTTCAGTAGTGTATCGCTCAGTTATTTTTATATTGTATTAAACGTATAATGGATCAAAGTCGAACTTAAAGCAGTACTCTCGAAGTAAAATACATTAATGTCGTGTTACTGAGTTGTCACCAAGAAATTTTTACTTATTTCACTCGTGGTATGGATGTAAGTGTATATTTTTAATGACTGGAAATTCAGGAATCATAGGTGTCGAAATAAGTATGGATTTATGTGTATAACTTAGTTGTCAAACAATAAGCAATTACAAAAAATTTTTGTTTAAATGATTTTACTTTGAGGTACAGTTTTATCCTTGATCACTAAAACACAATAATGCAATAGTAATCAAGTAATACATCGTTAAAAAATAAGGAAAAATGCATTTTTTTTAACTTTGAACATTTTTAACTCTAAAACTAAGCGACTTACTAAAAATGATTATGATACCTTTTTTTAAAAATTAGTAAGAGAATCAGAAATTTTTTTTCAAAACAAAAATAGTAGTTCGAGTTTTGTTGTTTGAAATTACTACCTGAAATAAAAAGTGCTTCCCTAATCTCTTCCCTGTGCGATCTAAAGTAATAACTGAAGACTATTTCAAACGTTTTTAAAAGTACTAGGCACTTCTGTACGCAGTGTTTGAGCTGATAGTTTTGCTAGATGTTTTTTGGCTTCGAAAATTATTTAATTTTTTGCCTAATATTAATCAAAATGTGGAAGATACATACAGTTATATTTCACACAATTTTCACAGTATTTTCTTATCGCAAATGAATTTGAAATACTTTATTTGTGTGTGCTTGTGTATATACGTGTAGTTAGGAAAAGATGGACCGTGTGTGAGCTAGGTCATGTGAGAGGAGTAGGGGAAAGAAAGAGATGGAGAAGATTTTGACAGTAGTAGGCTGCGAGCAGGGGCTTTATCACGGCTTTCGATACCTCGCAAAAGTCAGTATTTTTTTCGATAATTTAAGTAAAATTATGGTTGAGCGCATGCGCAGTCTAAGAATTATCGAAAAAAATACTGACTTTTGCGAGATATCGAAAGCTGTGATAAAGTCCCAGGGAGACTGAGAGGACTGCTTGACAGGTCTTCGAGAGAAAAGTATGTATACCGTATATGCCATCGAGATGTCGTCCAACCTTCTCCTATTCACCAGCTCATAACGACCTACGGGAGGCATCATCTGTGGCAGGGCTGAAGACGGTACAGTCACAAGAGGCTTGAGGGCAGTGGTCAACATCACGGGGACACTACGCCGAGATCTATCGTGAAGATGACTTGTCTGGTGGTGTAGTACCGTATTACGAGGTAAGGTTAGCGACTAATAGAGAAGTGCGGGAGAGAGACTTTATATGTGGCAACGGAGTAAGATTGTTCGTGTGTAGACTTTGTGTAGTGGCTGAGGGTAAAAAGCGGGCATGTAAATGAGCGAGTGATTGAGGCTAGTGTAAATTTCCTTGTAGTTGAGAACAAACGGGGAGTCAAGATCACTAAGAGATAGAGAAAAAGAGAAAGAGAGAAGGAGAGAGTGAGAGAAATCGACAGGACAGAGTGACGCGTGCGTAACGGCGCGGATCAGATTGTCTGAGAGGAAGACGTTTGGGTCGGGAAGAGAGCTATACGAGTGTAACCACTCGAATCGCGGGCGTACCGATGCAGGAAGTTACAGTACTGCGTGATAAAAAGGTGTATCGAGAGTGTAGTGGAAATTTGAAGTGCGTTGTCTAAGTTTCGGCAGTCAGCGAGAGATCGTCTGTCCACTGTGGTAGGATGTAATGCAAGTGTGTGTACTTAAAATGTTGCTCTTAGTCTTAGCAGTTGACGAGGGGCTGGCTGAACGTTGCGGTAGGACGTCGTAAAGTGTGTGTATGTGTGTGTGCATTCACAGCGTCATCTGAGTCTCTGCAAATCGGATAGTGAGGCCGACGGTAGGATTCTCTGCGGACAGAGAGGATATGCAGTGCATGTATTCGTCATCAAGTCGATGCATGAAGTGGCTCGTGATTGTAGGTGTTGCGTGGTGGCCAAGTATTCTCGCGATCGAATCACATTATCGTAACCTCAGAGCTAGCCGTTCTCTAGGTCACGTTCAGGGAACTTGATGTGTGTGTGCGTGTATAAGTATGTAGGTTTGCGGGTGTGGGTGTATGAGTGCAGGAGTGCGTGAACAAATCTGCGACTTGCAAGTTAGCACTAGGGGTAGCGTCAATTCTTTAGAATTGTTTATCTAATGTAAATGAAATAAACGTGTCATATTAAAGTGAAACCCGTGTTAGTGTGTTCATTTGTACAAGTGTGTAATGTATATATTCTGGTCATTTACCCTCGGGAACTGTCCACATTCCAACGGACAGTCCGCAGCGGGGCCTTCTCTGGGTAAAGAGTTTACATCAAGAGAGCAGAGCTGAGCCGAACATCGGTGCGGAATGTATGTTAGGTTAGAGAGTTTTGGCATTTTAGATGTTGTATGCGTATGGAGGTGTTTTAGTGCGGTGCGTCGGGACAGGTTCTCGTCAACGTGAAAACGTCGACTGGGCTAGAAAAATGCAACGTTACAATTTTGATTAATGACAATTCTCAATCTCTGTCAACAAACTGTCAAAATTTTTTATACGAAAGCCTGTTACTTGGCCAAATGATCATGTTGCACACTGTTTTGTATGGAATTGCAATGAAAAATCATTGATACAAACAGAAAACTTTTTCGAAAAAAACTGTTGAAGAAAGAGCTCGAAGAACTGGACTTAAATGTATTCAGTATATCATTGGAAGTTTCCACCTTACCGATTACCTAACATTAATAAAATTTTTATGAATCATTCATTTCATGCTTATTTAAACGAAAAGAAATGAGGAAACGCTTAAAGTTAATGCTTTGGCGAATAAGTCAAGCCCAAACTTATTGTTATCAGCTGCGAATGAAGAAAGGTTGCATAAGGATAATCAAACTAAACTTAAGGGTTTATAATTAGTTTTAAGAAATTTACTGCATCACACGGAGTTTCTGCCTTACTGGCTACTTTATGTTAAAAAATTTATAATTTTTTTCATCTTACAGCTACTTTCGCTTAAAATAATGAATTGACGCACAGAGCTGGTATTTTGACACATTCATGAAGCTTACATATATTGTAATTAAACGCAAATTAGGAGAGAAAATTTGTACCTCGTTATTATTAATTAGAGTGCATGGCAATAAAGATAACGAGATGCAACTTTTGTTTAGTACTGCTTACATCTAGTTGCAATAAGTTTGGGCTTCATTTATCCTTTAAAGCATTAACTTTGTGCGTTTTTTTTTGGTTTTTTACTAAAATAAGCATAAAATAAATGAATAATTATAATTAATTTAAGTAAGCTAACTGGAAAAGTAGAAACTCTTAATAATAAACAAAATGCCTTTAAAAACTATGGACATTCTAAAAAAAAGTTTTTTTTTGCTTTTTTGTAACAAAATATTTCCAAAGCCATGGCATTTTAATTTTTTCAATAATTTATTTTTCTTCTATATATATTTATTAAAGTTTTTACAAACTTCCACATGTATTATCAGCTACGTAAATCCACGCAATCATAAGTCAATAAGTTAAAAAAAATTAATGTAATAGTTATTCAAATAAATTGATTAAAAACTTACCAACTAAGACAGAAGCAGCAAGTTTTGCTTTTACGTTTTCTAATCGATGGGATTCAGTTAAAATTGTGGGGAAAGCATCCAAATTCAAATTTTCACATAGGAGCCGAGGCTCTAGTGTTTTAATTTTTCGAGTAGATACGACGTCAATTGTTTTTTTGGAGGCTGGATATTTTTCTGTTGCTGCAGACTTTCGGTCTTTATTTGTCCGCGACACTCGCTTTGCACACTAAAAAATACACACAAATATATACACACAAATATATGTACACACACACACACACATATATATACATATATATATATATATACATATATATATATATTATATTATATTTCTGAATTCAATTAAAATAAAATCAGCATTGACTTAGTAATATGAGTCAACATAAAATATTTTAAGTACATAAATAATCTAAGATATAGTTTTTATCGTGATATTCAATAATTTAATGCATGAATACCATCTTATTCAAAGAAAGTTACAGTCGTAACAGCTCTTATACTACATAAATCTTGTAGTAAATAATAAAGCTTGTTAGCAACACGTATGGGCCGTGTGTGTCTGTGGCTGCAATTGCCACTGAATTGTACAAATAAGTCTAACGTTTGAGAAAATAGATAAATTTTAATTGTTCTCTTTATTCTTTAACCATCCTTGTTTACAAAGCTTCCTCAATTAAACAGTTCTTGATGTCTCTCATGTAAACATCACTACATTTTTTAAAAACGGTACATTCTATAACCGTATTGAATATATTAAATTATTTCATTCCATTGTTACAAAAAATATACCCAATAAAGAACTAACAGCGTTAGCAAATAATTTTTTCAAAAAGGTTCTGAAAATGTTCTATTTCATTAAATTCCAATTTTCTTTTTCTTGAGAACATTTATGATTTTCAATTATTGTTCAATTTCTCTGTCCGAGTCGATAAAAAAATTAAATTTTAATTGATTAAAGGCAAATGTTTTAAAATTTTTACCAATTTATTGGCACAAAACGTTTTAACATTTTTTTTGGAATATTCTTTTGTAAAATAATCTATGTAAGGAATTGCTGCTTTATCAAATTATAAAATTTTTACAAAAAATTTATAATCTTATTCGCCAATACGGCAAACCTTCTGGAAATTTTTTATATAAGACGTTTTTATAAAGAAATTGACAACCTCGTAAAGTAATATAAAATTAACAAAAAGTCGTTTAAAAAGCTATTTTATTCTCTAGGAATAATACGTTCTTAAAAATGAAGCGCAAGCACAATCACATTCCTAATTCTTTTCTTATCATAATATTTTTTTTTTTTTATTTTACATTTTTTTCAATTCCTATTGTGAAAAATCCTATAGCAACCATAAAAATAGTAAAAACTTATTGATACGTCAATTTTCCGTATCCATTAAAATTAGGTTAGAAAAAAATATTACTAACAAAGTCGAGATATCTTTCTTTAATGGTAATAGGTATCCAAAAACAAAAAAAGAGCCGAATAATGGTAAACGTTTGATCTCTGAAATGTTACACATTACCTCCAACATTCATAATATAAATAAGAAAGAAGATTAAGTCGCACTTATCGAAGTTTCTTTAATTCTGTACGTTTTTAAAGACTATGTACGTTCTTAGAATTGTATACTGATAATGTGATATGTGAACTGAGGGCTCGGGTCATCGCACTGCGAAACTTATATATGTTTGTGTGTGTGTGTGTGTGTGTTTGTTATAAAAGCGGGGTACATTACGGTGTTGGGGCCTTTGCCAGTTTGACTTGCGTGTGAGCCATTTGCTCGATACGTTAAATTAATTGTCTTTCACGGTTTAAATTAACGTAATTTATTTGTCAGTTCTACATTATATGTATCTGTTGTTTATATTGTCATAATTTATTATTGTTAATAAAGCCTGAAGAAGTCGACACACCAGTCGACGGGACGTCGCTTAAACTAAGTGTTTTCATTTGCCCCAGAAGATTAACGAAATAAACTTATATAAAATAAAGAAATGCATGAAATAGTCAGTAGTGCGATAAGTTTTCGAACATGTGCCTTCTAATGGTAGTAATCAAATAAACCTCGACAATTTTAGGTCCATACTTGCAGACATAACCCTAATAAATACCGATTCATGCTTTTTTTGTCACTGTCATTCACTACAATTAATAAAAAATAAGAGTTAAAAGCCAACATAACCTAAAAAAATATCTAAGTATTAAATTTTGTTAGTTTCTGCGCCAAGCAACATATAAATTTGTGATTAAAACTTTCAAAAGTAAAACAGAGTCGTGATTATTCTTTTTTGAACATACGAATTATGAGTTCTAGAGTTTAAAAAACCATACAAAAAATGTAAAAAACTTTGTTAAGGTTGGAAATAAAAAATACAAAATTATGTTACGTAGCGTTAAAATTTATAGAATCATAAATAAAAAAATAAGTGTCTTGATATATTTTCTAATATATATCTACTGATTATAAATAGTAAAACGATACTTAACATTTTCAAAGCCATACTTGCAGACATAACCTCATGGTGACCATAAAACAAAAGTCGTGATTTGTAATAATATGAAATGATAATGAAACTGACAGAAACTATTATAACAAAACATTAACACTAAAGAGCCAACATGACCTTACAAAATATCAAAACATTAAATTACTTGTTTTCTGCCATAAAAATCATAGAGCCTTGTAAAAGAAACTTTTTTCAGAAAAATGGTATCAGGATACCTCAAACAACGTATCCATGGTGTAAAAAATACATAAGGTTGGCTCGTCAGCCACCAAACCGATCAGCCAATCAGGAGGCTTGGAACAAGCGACCTTCCATATTGCATTTTCCACCAATGAGCGTTGAGAGCGCGTTGTTCAACAACTTACACTTTATTGCTAAAAATAAATACAACTTACCTCGAAAAGCAGTGTTAAATTAAAAACTTCGTTCGCACGATAACGTAAATTAGATTTTGCCAGAGATGAACGAAAAAACTGATTTCTGATGTTAAAAATTCACATAAAAAAAAAATGTAAAATTTGTTTGTTAAAATATTTAATATACTGTATTCATCGTATATCTCACAAATAATCAGATGATTACATAGAATTATATTTATATAGAAAAAAGTGCACCTAACAAATTTTAATTATATCATTTATCGATAAAATTTTTTACCCTATACTCTTGTTTACGTGTAGCAGTAGTTCGCTACGCGCTCTCTACGCTCATTGGTGGAAAATCCAATATCGAAGGTCGCTTGTTCCAAGCCTCCTGATTGGCTGATCGGTTCGGTAGCTGAAAAGCCCACCTTATGTATTTTTTACACCATAAACGTACCTCTACGTACCTCTACATACCTTTAAAAGTTGTGACTTTTAATTTTTTCGTCATTCTAATTCAATAGTAGATCAAAACACGTTATTTGTGATTATATTTACTTTTAATAAAACTAACACAATCTACAGATACTTAGCGTTAACGTGAAGAAGTGAGCATAACCTTTAAAAAATAATTAAAAACTTAATTTTTCTTTGTTCTTGCCCTGAACGACACATCAGTTTGAAATCATTCACTATATTTTTTATCGCTACTTGCTCTAGAAAAACATACTTTGTCTCTGTTGCATAATAATGACTCATCTAAATACAGCTAAAACTATGTATAGATTTCTAACAAGGCTTCCTCCAACACCTTAGGCTCCGGATGATTGCTTTAAGTTATTGAAACAACCTCTGACGGTATTCACAGTGTTTGTTCCTTTTTCTTGAAGTACTTGTTCAACTCTTGATTTAAATGTGTCATAAAGATATTTCTGGACTTCAGTCCTTTAATTTTTAAATGTATCTGTACATAACAGATCTCATCATTTTTTTTTTTTTAATTGTCAAAGATCAAAAATAAAAGAATTCGAAGTCTTTAAGCGTAAAGTTAAAAAAGCTAATATGAGAGTAGAAATATAAAAGCATGCATAAATCTCAAGCCGTTTTTTTATTATTTTTTATATAATTCAATTGCGTTTTGGTAATAATCATTATTTGTAGAAATGTGTGAGATAATTAAAAGTAAAATTACCAATAATACATCCAAAACTGAAGACTACAGTTCATCTTTTAATTGAAGAAGTTATTATTGTTATTTTTTGTTTAAAACAAATGAAGGTACTACGTTTGCAATTAATTATTGAAATAAAATTTTATTTAATAAAAGTTTCTTAATAAAAAAAGGTAAATGAACAAAGATTATACAATAATTAGGAAGATATCAAAAGTATACGTAACTGCAAGTTTGAGTTAAACTTTGATATTAATAATAATTTTTTCCTTTTTTTCTTAATTTTTGAGATGCTATAAGCAATGAACATTTTAAATAGAAAAAAAGATAAAACGACTAGTTCTTAAATTTCAAATTTAATCACACATCTTTACCATCTTTATTTTACCATTTCCTTCTATTAGTTTTTCCTACTTATTGAATGAACTGAAACTTGAACTCACGCCAATTTAGTTTACCAAATTAATACGTTCACTAGAGTTTTAGCACTAAAGGATACCCTGAATCTAGGAATTTACATTTTTATTTTGTCTTCATGAAAGAAAAAGCTCCATTTTTAATTATCAAGGAGCTTACCACCTTAATATTGTGAGTGTCAAAAAATCGTGCATAGTAAAAAAAAACATGCGAATAGAATACGACTTATGGTGTTCTTACTTTGTTGGATTCATGTTGGATTCATGTACTTAGTTGACTTTGTACATACTACTCTAGTTTTTTTTCGTTTAAAAACTGTGTTTGCTTCAGTTTGTTCGTGGAAGGGCTGCTTTCATTGCGAGCTAAGTCCAAACCACGTCGAAAGCAAATTTTACAAAAGGATAAACAAGATTTGAAAGTTCAAATCAGAAGTGGCATTTATTTGTAATCAATTGGTATGTACATTTGCTGACTGAGTGAAGCGTTCAGCTTAGCAGCGGCGCTTTCTTGGACTGACTGTGCTACGCAAAGCACTGTATATGTATAAACTCTTATGCGAATGTTCGAGAAGATTTAGTTTAAGTAGTATTAGATTAGATAAGTGTTCATTTAGTCCCTGCAGATAACAACCTTTGAATGGATTATAAAAGATTAATCTCCTGTGAAGTATAAATGTATAAATGTATAAATGTAACAATGTAACACAGTCTCAAGAGTATTGTTTTAATCCAAGTAACGAAAGGTATGAAATACAAATAAGTA